TACGGGGCAATATATTCCAACGCCTTATTTTCATGTGATTGAGATGCGTCCGTTGCTATAATGACATTTGTTGGCAGAGTACTTAAATAGTCCCGCAATAAACCATTTAAAATGCCTGTAGGTAATAGTTTAGTGTGAGTTGGGAAGATATCATGGTAAACAATTTATGGAGAAATTTGTTGCTCAGTTAAAGGAATCAGATCACGAACTTGTACATTTAGAGGCTCAAGTAACGATTGAACAAGTACTATTTGTGGTTTGTGAAATGCACGGAGAAGAATAGGAGAAGAATGGCCAATGCACGGAGAATAGGTCAGGATTGGAAATAAAAATAATTTGTTCAGGGTTAAACGGTGCTTCATATAGTCGTAAAAAGGTCTGCACAGTAAGAATGTTGAAGCGACATAATAAGGTTGGTATTCGTGCTTCAATATATAACACTGCATTTGCAGTATACTTTGGAAGTCCTAAGCAGAGCCGTAAAGCCTCTCTTGCCTATAGAACGAGCGGCCGAAGTTTGTAGGCTGGCGCACCAGAAAAAAGAATGCAGCCAAACTCTAACACAGGTCGGACATACATTTTATATATAATCAAAAGTGCCTTCCTTCTCATACCTGATCTACAATTGCTCAACCTCCGCCATACGCCCATCGCGCGTACTGCTTTTGTCGCGATGTATTCAATGTGAGGGTGCCAATTTAGATGTCCATTCCACATAACTCCAAGATATTTCAATGATTGTACTTGTGGGATATCTTGAAGCTTGTAATTAATAGATATGCGCACAGGATCTTTGATAGGAAAAACGAGAATAGCACATTCACCGGTATTCAGGTTCAACATCAATCCATCTAGCCAATGTTCTATTTCATTTATATATGCTTGCAAGATAGTGTAGAGACATTGGAAGTCATGTGCCATAGCCAAGAAAGCAATGTCATCGGCATAAACATAGGTTTTCACATCTGGATGAACGGGGGTGGTACTAAGCAATATGTTGAATAATACCGGGGAAAGTACTGACCCCTGAGGTACAGCTCGGGTTTGCTTGTGCTTACAGGAAGAGAAACCGCCTTGATAACAATAGAATTCTCTTCTACTTAAAAATTCCATCACCCATGCTACTATATAAGGTAGAAGTCCATGACTCCATAACTGTTTAATCAAGATAGAATACTCTACACTATCGTATGCTTTACATATGTCTAACGTTACTAAAGCCGCAAAGTGCTTTTTGTGACGGGCAATATGAATACGACTTTCCAGATCTACGTGTGCATGCCATATGGAATATCCATATCTAAAGCCAATTTGGGAAGAACTCAACAGCTGTTTCTCGTTAACAAACCTAATTATACGACTATGAAGTACCCTTTAAATAAGTTTCACTACATTAGATGTTAAGGCTATCGGTCGTATGTCGTCTAATTTATAGCCTGCCCCCTGTTTCTTAAGCAATGGTATAATTTTCGCAATCTTCCATTCACAAAGGGATCCATGCTCTTCTAAGGGAATAATTGACGAGACCTAACAGATCATTCGGATATTCCCTGTGTAGTATTTTTAGCATTGTATTTGTTATTCCATCGGGGCCTGGTGCTGCATTTGGCAATCTTTCTATAGCCTGATTTAATTCGGAAGTCGATATTTCTGTGTAGTCATAGATGGTTGTTGTGTAAGCCAAATTAGGAAGATGCATTGAGAACCTGTTTTCTAATTGTTCAGCCAATTGATTCAATGATTCCTGTAGTTCCTGTGAGGTGTGAACTACTGAGTCGACGTTTCCTGGTATAGGGGTCTTCTTCCTACCATGAAGGAAATTTAATAAAGCACGTTTGTTATTTGATTTAGACAGGTACTCGAAATGTTCCTGGTCATATTGCTCTTTCACTCGCGATACAGTGCATTTAAATGTTGCCGCAATGAACTGATAATCCTTCCAATTTTTTGGACTCTGACTACATATAAGTCTTTTCCATGCAGCTTTTCTTCTTCTATAGTCTCATGTGCACTCATTATTTCACCATCTACTAGGTTGGGCACTTTTGGATGACGGCGAAGCAATTACAAATTCTGAAGTGTTCTTGGAGATTTTTAAAGAACAGACATTTCTGCCGAGGTCTTCGTTTTGACCACTGGACACTGCCCTAATGTTGGAACGCAAGCAGTCTTTAAATTTTGTAATTGATCAATGTTTTCTCTGTCCTTTCAATAGATTTCACAGCACATGAGATTTCAAAGTATACAGGAAGATGGTCACTGTTTGAAGAGAAATCAATTGTTTTCCAAGACTTTATTGAAACACTTGGGCTACAAAACGTGAGATCTAATACCGATCGTGTCCGTCCGTGAATAAATGTAGGCTGTCTATCATTTAGGCAAGTTGTGTTTTTAATAATCATCCAATCCCACAGAAGAGTACCAGAAGGGTCTGTTCGAAATCCGCATGAAACATGATGTGAGTTGAAATCACCAGTCAGAAGGAAATCATTTTTGCAATTAGCTAAGGCAGTATCTAATTGTTGAGTAGTATGCAAACCCGTTGGAAAATATGCGTTTATAAGTGAAAAAGGGCGGTGCCCTGGCAGACAGAGGTCTATTGCCAAAATTTCACAGTCTGTTGACATAAGCTGAAAAGCTGTGCTCGCTGTGCGGCAAAATTTATTCGAGACTAGTATATTTAGACCACCTCCTAGTGACGGACGGTCTAACCAAAATGCTCTGAAATTGTTTAAATGATAATTCTTAACAGGGTTAAGCCAGGTTTCTTGTAATATGACTATATCCGGATATAACTGATTAATTAAGCAAAGTAAGTCAGTAGAAGCAGAAATCAAAGACCTACAATTCCACTGTACTACTTTCAAGGTATCTATGTTGACGAGCGAAACACTTCAGCAACGGCAGTTTCTAAAATACTCTCCTTAATAAGTGCACTGGCATTTTCACTGCCCTTTTCAGGTTTCGTGTTTGGGCAAGGAGATTTTACAGGATATCCAGTGCGCTTCTGACGCCTAAAATCTTGGCATACGTCCATTTCATTCTGATTCTCCGCGAGGGTCGACGTAGAAGGTACGGACAGAATTGGTGTTTTCTCCTCTCGGGATTGCCGCTGTGGGGCTAAATTCGGTATTTCTTCCACTGCACAAGGTGCCGACTTGGCTATCAATACTGCTACTGCAGAAGCCAGCTGTGTCATCTGTGAGCAAAACACTTGAGAGATGCACTCACTTACGCTCGTAACTATGTGTTCCAGCGCTTTCGACATCGCCTTTTCTACTGCAGCCTCAATAAGATTCAGAATCTTCGTCTCACTTAGTTGTTCGTACCTCGACGCGACTCCGGCATATCCAAAGGCCCTATCCTTCACAAGTGTTATTGCTTCTCGCCGCGAGCAACGATGTCTGTCCATGATTTCTAGGAGTTGCGTTTCATTGGACCATGCGGTGCAGTTCAGGTAATCGGCCGCGTAATTTCCTGCACAGAGGCAGCACTTTTCGGTTTCAGCGTTGCACTCCTTCGATGGATGGGTATCGCCACAGATGCGGCAACGTGAATTTGATTTACAGCCCCCTGCACTGCGACCAAAACACCAACAGTTTTGACATTGGAGAGGACGAGAAGCGAGACGTTCGACTCTGAAAATGGGTGGCCATATTTTTAACTCGGATGGACAGGAAGTGCCAGCAAAGGTAGCAATAACCGACTCAGTGGGGACTTTCTCACCGTTAACTAATCGGTTGCATCGGTACACAGCTATGACCCCAGCATCAGACAGCTTTTCCAGAGTCTCAGCGGGCGTTAATGTAGAGTCGACTCCTCGTACAATTCCCTTAGTGCACGCTAAATGAGGCGGGATAAATGCACTCACCGGGACCGAAGCAAATGTATTGCATTTAAGGATGTCAGAAACGCACGAAGGATCTGACGATCTGCATACCAAACCACCTCTTCCGAATTGACGAACATCGCTTATCAGCTGAAAGTGCGGCGTCTTCTGGTAGGTGTTCTGTGGCGTCATGGCCTGCAACTCCACCTGGATCGCCTTCGGGTTGTTGAGCCTAATAAATCCACCACTCGAGGGCACCAGCGCTACAGGGATGCTGCCGACACCACTGCGGAAAAAATATTCCGATTGCAATTCATAATTAGGCAAGGAGGCTGACCAAGGGCTGTGCCCTTGGCCAGGAGACAAATTAGACATTAGCACTAATTCGATTGCTTAAAGAAGTAATATGCAACGTCGGCTAGTTTCAACAGGTCAAATTCACCCAAAGCTCAGCCAAACCACCGTTCGAAAAAGTCCGAAGGCACCAGCTACTACAGGAACGGACTCGGACAGCCGTTGCTCACCTGGATCGTTGCATCTGGAACCCCACTGTATGATTAATGCATCACAACTCTGCGTTTATGGGAGTACCCCACAGCTCTGTAGGAGAGGAACAAAAGCGAGAATGTGAAAGTGTGTGGGTTTATTCTAGGAAAAGACCTGTTCGGCCGTCTATTGAGCAGCCGTTGAATGATTGGCGACGATTAAGCCTCATAAAGAAAGAAGTGGTTCAGCTTACAGCATTGAACCAAAGACACGTTGCAGTGACTGTTTGAACTTCCTAGCGTGCATGAAATGCGGCAAAGTACGCGCGTGACTGAAAAAAAAAAAAAAAAGCTCCAGTTTGTAAGACAGTTATGGTTTTTGCATTAACGCAAATGTTTGACATAAGGTTGCAGAGTTTGCGTGTTCTGTGGTGTGGGAACAGAACACCTACCAGTGTGGGCCCGAGTGCAAATTTTTAAATATAGCGCGTTTTTTTTTTTTTTTTGCTTTGCTGTTTCAGTTGCGCTGTTCTAATTCAATTCTAAGTCTTGTGTGCGATATAATTTCTTTAGAAGTCAATGTTTTATGATGTTCAAGTACCTTGTTTTGTTAAAAAAATTGTTTTAACTGGGTTCGTGTAACAAAAATGGCGAAAGTAATAATATAGGTAATGGAGGAACAATCATCATTTGTCCACATAATTTTTCTTCTCAGCTGATTAGGCGCATATATCTACGTAACTGGCACAGTTTCTATAAAACATGGAGGCTAGAGTGGCGGCGCAAACAGGTAAGCTGTCGGAAACCCGATGTTTCGAATATGAACTACAATCATTTAGTGTTAGTTGCGAGCGTCTTTGTGAAGCTCAGGTAATAGCCAACAGGAATGCTGGCATTAACAACGCGCAGCCGCTCTTATTCGAAGCACGCTGAGGATTTCTAGCACACGAAACCGAAACTCTCTTCAGCTCCTCACGTGCACTCTCGCAGTCGTTTGATGCTTTCACCTTGCTAGAGTGGCTAGAATGGTAACCTTCCCGAGATTTTTTTTTCTTTTTTACGCTTACGGCATAAAAAAAAAGTTGGTAACCGTACTAAGAACAAGGAAGTTATATCGCAGTGGACAACTATTCGATGACTGTTCATTTGGCGTGGTTCCTTCAGTCTAGTTGATGTTCTAAGCGTGTAGTTGACTTCGAGTGTTTTTCCCGTAGTTCGCTAGTTGTTTTGGTGGCTGCTATGCGTGACTTTCAACGCAGGCGATGGCGACCGCGTACTGGCTGGCGTACAGCATATATTCTTGGTGCTCTCTGGCAAAGGCGGTGTCGGCAAAAGCACCGTCGCTGTGGAGTTGGCGATGACGCTGGTGTCGATGGGAAAGAAGGTACCCAACTACTCTGGCGCTTCTGCGAAGCATTCCGCAGGCGATCATCATTCGTAATCTGAGTAAACTTCAATGATGGATGTTTATTGCTGCATGTATACGTCTCGTACAGATAATCAGCGTGTCAAACCGTCATTGAACGATTTCAGAGATTACAGTTCTCGAACGATTTGCCCTCGCCTTACTGCAGTGCTAGCCGTCTGTTGTTCACAATTGAGCAGCTACCACGATTTCTATGTTCTTTTTTTTTCTTTTAATGAGAGCAAGTAACTGAGGGTAGTCACTGACTGCAGGTTGGCCTTTTGGATGTGGACCTCTGCGGACCCAGCATTCCAAAGATGCTCAATCTGGATGGGCACAGTATTCATCAGTGCCCACAGGGGTATGAACCGTAGACCTTTCACAGCATGTAAGCATGAAAGCCTTGACAGAACGCCTTGGGCATGTACGGTGCGAATTGTGCTTGAACGGAACACATATGTAATCAGTACTCAGACATATGTTCATCTTGAGCTGTACCTACAATCAGTGCTTGTTGTGGCATTAAGGGTAGGCCTATTTATAAAACGTTAAAGGTGTGGCCCTTGCTTCATGAACAAGCTGTCATCAGACACAGAAGTTAATTTTCTGTTTCCTTTAACAGTGTACCATATTGTACAGGTCCTTAAAACATTGCATAGGCATATGTTTAGGATGATGAACAGATGGCCCTGTCAGCCGTATGACTTTCTGTGGCCACTGCAGATGGGTTCCAGTATACGCTGATGCCACTCAGCGGCTAGCAGTGATGTCCATTGGGTTTCTGCTGTCCGACAAGAATAACCCCATCATCTGGAGAGGGCCCAAGAAGCATGGTTAGTCGTAATAATTAACAATATCGATAATGAAGGTCCTGAAGTATGTATGCCATAATTAATTAGGCCAAATATTAAGTAATAACAGTGAATTATTATGTAAAGGTAGCTTCACTTTTCATTCATTCCCAACATAAGAAGTTCATTTCATAATTATAGTTTTTTTTTTTTTGAACAAGCATTTATGTAGTATAAACAACAAAAAATGCATTTTTGGATACCGTTTAATATCTGATTTCAAGCTAAGGTGTGACATACGTATGTTTACAGTTTTGAGTTTGCGGATAGGTTTTACAAATATATCCTTATTTCACAGAGCAATCACCATTTAAATTTTCTTTCATTCTATGGGAACCATTGGAGACACTTGAGGAATTTTCTTCGGTTCTGCAAAATTTCTTAAATGCATTGTATTTTTCAGAACAGCCTGTAATAAACTTCACTAGGTAAGAGCTCGAGTTTGTAGGTTTTTATGAAGTTTGACAAGCTTGCAGATCTATGTTGCCATAATTAAGACTTGCATGGCTACTACATTGCTTTGCTAGCCATTTAAAATTTGTGCCTATATTTTTTCAGTGCTGGATTGTACTTTTAATAATTTTCAAAGCCTGTATGCTTCCCCAAGTGCCATCCAAAGCTGGCTATGCTGTAACACATCTCGTTACGGGAAAGTGATTAAAAAAGGGATTAAGAAAGAATTGAAAGGGAGCTTTCGTTCTTATATGACTTCTTTAGAATGAAAAGGTACAAAATGGTGGTAGTTCAGTTGAATTGTGATACTATATGAACCTTTTATTGTAAAGTGGGATTTAAAAAAAAAAGAGAGAGAGAGAGAGAGAAACCAGTTGTATCATTGCGCTTCTAAAGCATTAGCATCAGAATGGCTCTGAGTTTGCTAAAAACCACTGATCACTCCAGAACAAGTCATCACAGTTGCCAAAACGGTTTCCACGATAGGAAAAACCATGATGTTACTACAATATTTTGCAGGTTGTGGCTAACCGTGGTGCATTTCAGAAGTGAAAGCTATCACAAGTGTGCATAATGCTGTTGATGCTGGTGATTACTGAAATGTGATGCACAGTACAAGATAGAGAAGATGACAATACTCTGTTTAACTATCCCGGAACAAATGACACTGAAACTTTGTTAGCCTGCAATTGTATTATGTCACAGTCACATGTCGTGGCACCCATCAATCAAGCATTTTCATGTATGCAGCCATGATTCGACAGTTCCTGGCCGACGTTTGCTGGGGCGAGTTAGACTACCTGGTAGTTGACACACCTCCTGGAACGTCGGATGAGCATATGTCAACTGTGGAGGTGCTACGTGGACTAAACCCCGACGGTGCGATCCTTGTCACGACACCGCAGGTGATCGTCGTTATGCAGCATACAGGTTCTTGTGTCTGGGTTGTTGCAGAGTTACATGCAATGCTGTCGGCACATATGGGCCCACGGGGCTTTGCAGGTGGTCGCTTTGGAAACATTGTAAGCCTTGGTGTTGCGAAGCATAAAAAAAGTTTGCAGCCTTGTTCTCTTGTCTACATCAAGTAACTTTCGTGAGAAACACATTCAGAAGTTAAGACGCTGTGTAAGGAAACATAACAGCAGTCAGTGTGAAATGAACACAGCTCATGTCAAGTGTACAGGAACAAATTCCTGTTTGCCACTTATGTTCGCTCTTAAGAAGCAACATTGAAGGGATAAGTGATTGGGCAATCTATTTACAGGCTTATTGCAATAGTAGTTGCCATAGCATATTGCTGTTAGACTGAGGGCACTCCTCATGTAGGACTACAGCTTTGGCTACTTAGGCAGTTGCAAACCAAAAGATCGACTACACAAACAAATTTGTTTTTTTGTGTGTGACTGTGTGTGTGTGTGTGTGTTTGTGCCCGCTGCAATTATCTTCCTGTTGCACAAGCATTTATAGGTTCCCAACAAGCTTTGCTGGCATTTGGTACGCATCATGTCGTATTTTTACTGACAGAACTTCTTCATCATTGTTTTTTGGAAACACACAATCCTTCTTCTAAGATGGGCACAATACTTTAAGATACTATTGCTCTTTCATGATTTCTTTAAATGATGCAGTACTTTACCATCCTAGTATAACAAAATCGTTGTAGAAGTATCTTGTGTAGCATCTTTTGCCAGTTGGTGCCATTTCACGACTATTTTTAATTGCTATTACTGCAGGCGATCGTTTTGCTTATGTAACTAAGCATGCTACAAATTTATATCTCAGAATGGTGGACAATACAAAGGCTCGTATCTGGAGAACTGGTTCGATAGCGCCAAGTTTCTGCATTGTTGTGCCATTTGCACAGAATAGTATTTGCTTGATTGATTGAAATAACTTTATCGGCTATTGGCAGAACACTATAGCTCATGACAACCTAAGGAAAGAGAATGTAAGCTCCGCCCACAGAACCGCAGCAGGGCTGCCCCTAACTTGTGAAAGACGGTTGTGCTAGATGGTTACCGCTCAGTCTGTAAATACTTTTTCTCGGCTAATGTAAATTCTACACATGTAAAGAGTTGAAGGTTTGTAAGTATTGCCTAAAGCCTTATACATGGTTGAGAAGTGATGTCAGAATTCCTGACAAAATTTACCACAATGTTCGAGTTTCCTTCCTAAAAGTAATAGAAAACCAGCAAATAATAGAGCCACCATCAAAAAAAAGAGACCATGCGCTACACAATGCCAGTTGGTGAAAAAAAAGTGGTTTCCACGTTTGCCGTCACCATTGCGAACCGCACTAACACCCCCAGGTGCACAAACACAAGTACCCCACAATGTGGACGAAAGGACGTTCACTGCAAGCTGGGGGCAAGTTGTTTTTTTGTCTACACTACTTCAAATCTATGTCTTAATTACTAGAATACACTCAAAAGAGTACAATTAATGTCCCCTGTACTTTCCTTGGTTTTATTATCTGTTGGTTTTCATTAACGTTTATCAAACAAAAAAATGAGCCCTCAAAACTCCCTTCATTCATTCTACGCAAAAGTAGCAACACAGACGTGCGTATGGAAAAGTCAACTATCTGAAACACGCGAGAAGTGCTTGACACCACAAAACAGAGCGAGTGCTACTGAATGGAACGTTTGTGCAAATTATCTGTGACAGGGTCAACAGTAGTCGTGGGTGGAGTGGACATCTTTTATTAGGTTTTGAACAACTATAGGCGCCAAATTTTTGTTCTTGACAAGGCACTTTTTGGCATGCAGGCGCTGTCGGTGGCAGACGTCTTGCGCGAAGTCACCTTCTGCAGGAAGACCGGGCTGCCCGTGCTCGGCATTGTGGAGAACATGAGCGGCTTTGTGTGTCCCAACTGTGCGGTGAGATAAGAATCTTCTGCGAACATTCCGTACTGGCAAGGCTTGTTGAAACTTGCTGAATTTGTTGGCGTCCTATACTGTAACCCGGCGCCCGTGAGTTCTCGGAAGTACAGCTCTCAAAAGTGTGCCGCTCGCATACGTATTTGCATTGCGCCGTTTCCTCAATAAGTCATGCTTTCTCGGCTGTTCCTGTTCAGCTGTTCCTGACATGGCATTCTGATCTTCTATAGCGTTGTCACGTTTGTCATTGCGTGTTGTCTAGTAACTGTGGTGTTGTGCAGCTAACCACATATATGACAGTCCAATTCTTGGTGTGAAGGAAGGAAGCAGTTAAAAGGGAGCATTTTTCAATGCAATAGATTGATTGGTGATTGATATGTGGGGTTTAATGTCCCAAAACCACCATATGATTATGACAAACGCCGTAGTCGAGGGCTTCGGAAATTTTGACCACCTGGGGTTCTTTAACGTGCACCCAAATCTGAGCACACGGGCCTACAACTTTTCCGCCTCCATCGGAAATGCAGCTGCAGCAGCCGGGATTCGCACCCGCAACCTGCGGGTCAGCAGCTGAGAAAGAAAAGCATAATGACAGGCATGCCCACGCCATGTTTCACTTGCCCCCATTTTTCTAATAGAGCTAGGGCTCCAGAATTTTTCAAAAGTTTTGCTCCATTCTCCTAATTTTCGTACTTAAGGGGGTGATGCCACCATTTTTTTTGGCTTGCACGCTCTTTGCTGCAAGCACCTGCAAAACGAACTTGTAGCAGCTGTGATGCTTTGTTGGTACGTATGTAGTGGAGGTCTCCTGAGGTCACTCCCCGCACTACAATAGGTGTGCGCATAGGAAGGGGCGGCCACTCCCATAGTCACCTACGAGGGGGTGGGTGCAAACACAGTCCCACTTATTGACATAATAGAGAGGAGGCGCTGTGACTTTCAGAGGAAGCACGAAGTCAGACCCATGCATTGACATAATAAGGAAGAGGTGCGTTGGGTTGAACCTTTGTTCCTCGTGAAGGGGAAACTTGATCTGGTGTGACGTCACTGCAACTTTCGTCCTCTTTCAGAACTATGACAGTTCTGGAATCACTTGTGATGGGCTTCGGTTGAGAGAATGAGCTTTGGAGGTGAATTGAAACATGTCCGAAGCGTTTGCTGTGTCCGACCGTTCATGTGGAGTGCTCTAGCATACAGAGGAAACCCACGAAAGGCTCGCTTCAGCTTCGAGATTTGATGACACTTCAGGCATTCATCCTTATGACAGGCTACCTGCGACCTCGTGTTTCCCATGGTTGTGCACTTAGCTTGGAATATTGTGGTAGTTTTAAACAGAGATTATCTTTTGTTTGGTCACGATACAGGAAACCAAAAAACGCTGACTCTTATTGATTTTTCAGGAATGCAGCAACATCTTCTCCAGCGGAGGAGGAGAGGAGCTCGCCAAGATGGTCAATGTGCCCTTTTTAGGTGAGCACTGCTTGTGCTGGGACTGTGTTCCTAGAACCGTAAGGTGGAACCTGGTGGGTGCGATAAAAGTCAAGCAGAGCGTAAAAAGGAGATTCTGGATTGCTTCGTGTCGGAGTGGGGCTCCGTGGCTGCGTTTATTTGTGTGTCACCTGTGCTAGTGGCCCTTAATGGAGCACCGACATAAAATTTTGAAGGTGACTTACATGCATCATTTAAAAAATATTGACAGATAATATACAGCTTAGAATATATTTAATATCAATTATGATGTTTGTGCCGCGCCACTGCTTGTAAAACGTGCCTTGCGCTTTCGTATGAGCAGCCAACTACCGCTTGCATCACGAGTTTGTGTTGGCTGCCATTATTCGCGTGTGTGCTCTCTCTTTGCGTATCTTTTCAATGGAAAAAGCGGGGAGACTTGTGCTGGAATGAAAAGGCTGATGTCCTTGCCCTGGCAGTGCATCTTTGTGAGGTCACGCATATTTACAATGTCTGAGAGTGAAGACCCAGCAAGTCTTTGTTGAATAGAGTTGTCAACGCGGTGCTCATGTCATACAACTTTGTGTTCTGTCACAGCCAGCTATGTTTGCATGAGAACTGCTCTGTCTCACCTCACTCAGCACTCTCTAAAACTGAAATTGTGACTGGGTGCTACAAAGCTGTCTCGAAAGAATTAGATGTCGCAGGTTTGGGCAATTAGTTTTCCAGTTGCGATAAGTGGGTCGTTAGTTACTTATTGCAACATAAAAAGTAAGGTACAAAATTTTTGTGTCAGTTTTCTGTCAGAAGAACCTAAAGAGAAAACAAATTTTCTGACTTTAGTATATTACCCTAACATAATATTAAAAGCACCAGTTTTGCCGCAACAACACACCTGAAAAGCTAGAAAATGCACAGAAAAATTGTGCAGTTTGCAAAGCTACCTTAATAGTAATAATTGTAGAGGTTTAATGTCCCAAAACCACCACCATATGATTATTTTAGACGCTGTAGTGGAGGGCTCCAGAAATTTCGACCATCCAGGGTTTTTCAGCGTGCGCCTTAAATCTAAGCACGCGGTTCTCAAGCACTCTGACCTCTATCGAAAATACGGCCTCCACGGCTGGGATTCAATCCCTCGACCTGCTGGTCAGCAGTTGAGTGCTTTAGCCACTAGACCACCGCACTGGGTTGGCGACGCCACCTTAAGACTTCTGTACAGAATTTGATGGCCTCTACTAGTACCCGCGCAGTTCTTGATTGGGAAGAGTGAAGTACACAGTTTTATAAGAGGACCAGGAACTTACATTACAAAGTTTTGGAAACGATTCTTTTGAGCCAGTGTGGCCAAAAAAGCAAAAAAGCATTGAATGTTTCGATGTGACACTAACGTTGACACGTAAAAATTTCTTCGCCAAGTTTAAAAGTTGACTTTTGACATATGTTTTCTCTTTCATTAATATATGCATGATGGTGACATTAAGGAATGTATGGTTTTCAAAGAATGATAATTTACCAGTTTGAGCTGATTAGTTGTTTCGCTTCAGTGTGCTTTTAAGGTGCAAGATATGATGCTTTCAGTTCGCAATCATTTATGCATCTTGAGCCAAGTAAGGGATTAATTGGCTGTACAGTCGTTATTACCTATGGTGGATATTGTAGTAAACTAAGATTGACAGTTTTTGCAACACTTGCAGCTAAGGTACCATAGATGGGCTGATGTACAGACGGAGCCCCCCCTCCCCCAGACAAAAGAGGTGGTGCTAGTTTAGAGTCCACTTCAATCTCATGATGCTTTTGTCATAAGAGTATGAAAAATGAATTTGCCATGTAATGACAATGTAGCATGCTAATGAATCTTTGCCAACGATCGATACATTGCAGGTCGCATCCCCTTGGAGCCGAGGCTTGCAGAGTGCATGGAGCACGGTGCCAACTTTATGGACAAGTTTGCCGATTCTGCCGCCGCCGCAGCTTTCAAGCAAGTGGTGTTGAGGGTGGCATCGTAATTCACGGTGATTCGAAGCTCATCAGTTGTTTCACAGTGTTAGACATCAAAGAGTAATGCCAGTGTCACGTGAGCATTTTTTATTGCGACTGGGGCTGATCCAGATTAAATTTCTTGGTCGCCATTGACATTGGTCATTGCCAAGCGGTTTGGACTAATCCAGATTGAGTTTGGCACAAAAATGAGCCCAAGTGATTCGGATGCTAGATTGCAATTACTTAGCCACATCTCATTGCAGCAGCACCTAATCTCAATCGGTCTGATCCCAATCAGAAGTGCCTATGTGACACTAGTATCATAGCGAGTTATTGCATTAAGCATGTTGTAATAACTTGCTTGTTCAAGCCGTTTCTGTAATATGCAGTTGAACCTCCACATAACGAATTATTGGATATTTTGACATGATTATTGGATATTCTGACATGACTCGCTTGCAGCGTAGACTATTTATAAGGTATATTTACAACAGCGATTGTGCACCTAAGGTTCGTTTTCATCGTACAGCACACTGCAGAAAAAATGGAGTCGACAAAGTAGCAGAAGTGATTTCATATGTTACTGGAGTCTCCGCACAAAACACTCGATATAGCTCTGCGTACCGAGAGAGCAGTTTTTTCGACAGGCCAATGCGACATGTTGGACACCACGGCAGAACCAAAGAACCAGGCGAGAAATTCACGTCCCTGTGTCGCCGGTTGTATAAGCACCGTTGGTTCTCTTGGGAGGTCAGGAGGCGAGTATGAGCCGTTTCCCACTCATGTGCATTTTGGGTAACTGAGTCAAGGGCATATTTTGGTCGCTGCTGGGAGCAGAACGATGTTACTGAGAGGAAGTGTTGGTTCTTGGCCGAAATACATAACAGGAAAAAAGGGGAGTAACCGGCAGTGTCATGGTGTGAAAAATTGTAGGTAAACGTCGCATACGGTCGAGCAATGCCTCAGTCCCAGAATAAATTTTTAAAATTAACTTCCATGGGCATCCAGTCTTCAACGTGATGCAGACAGTTTTTGTCGTTATCCTGGTCTTCCTAGAGAACATGGTAAATACTGTCGAATCTCGATAACTCGAACTCGAAGAGGCCCAAAAATTTGTTTGAATTAAAAGAAGTTCAAAATAACGAAAGCTAAGTAAACAGAGGTCTCCTCATGCAGTGGCGCATGTGCATTGAGCTAACACACGAGGGGGAAGTTTAGGAAAGCTTGCATTTATTCACAAATCACAATACATCCGTTATTAATTGAAGTAATTGGTGTTGCACATCTGCACACGTTTGCCTTGTAGCGAGTCAATCAATTTCGCACTCAGCTTGCAAGGCATGTCTACTTCGGCTTCAGCATTCTCCTGGCAAGAGAAGTTGCGCGCAGCAATGTCCAGCACCAACACACTCTAAAGACGACACCAACGACTGCATCTCCACTACCACCCACTGCACCAAAGCCGCAGCGTGGCCAGCACTTGGCAAGAAAGGAGGAGCGTCTCCACGCGCAGAGAAGCAAATCGGCATTGGAGATAAACCAACACTCCACTGCAGCTTTTTTTTTTTCTCTCTTCACGCGCGTTGTTGAAAGGAGAAGGATTACGTGGCAGGGACGAGAAAGGGGGAAGCATGGCACAGGCGAGTGAGAAAGAGCCTAACTTCGCGACAGCTTTTTTTTTCTCTCTCTTTCTCTTTGCACGCAGCATTTGAAGGAGAAGGGTCTTTACGGGGCAGAAGCGGAAAAGAGAGGGAGCGTGGCAGAGGCGCATCGCAGATCGACATTTGAGAGAGAGCAAACATCCCACCGCAGCCTTTTCTATCCTTTTCCTTTCCTTTCTCGCGCAGCATTGAGGCATCTGAGGTGCTGCCGCGGGATTGAGCGGGTTGCTGAGAGCATTTTCGGAGCGCGGTATGTTCGAATTAACCGCCGCAAGTGCTTGCGCGTTCGAATCACCAGGTGTTTTCGCCCATTGGAATACACATTGCTTTGACGAGACTTCATCATAAGTTCGAATCAACCGGAAGTTCGAATTAAGCGTGTTCGAATTAGTAATGGGATTCGACTGTAGTATAACCATAATTTGGCAACACAAAATAGTGAACAAACTACTGACAGTGTGATAACAAAAACTGTCCCCACCGAATCAGTTGTAATGCAATAATGAAAGTTTTGGTGGTTTTATGAAAACCGGTTACACATGGAAAAGGTCGAAATGGTTCCTGGTTGAGTGCAGCACACAAGCGTTTTTGTGTTTCGCTCCCATTGTGACGTGGCCACACAAATCACACCCACGACATTTCTGGTCAAAAATAGAACACAAAAGTGACCCAGCTCGGCACGTACCCGTGTCAGCATAGTACAACATAGGTACCATGTTACCATAGGTAACATAGTAACATAGGCAACACGAAATGTGTAGTTGTAAGCCACAATGGGACACGTTAGAGGCGGCCATCCTTGGCTGAGTTACATCCGTGCACAGTGGTGGTAAAGAAGGGCAAATAACGCATCCAACTGTAACCGTTATAAAATTGTTTGACACAGCCGAAAAGTCAAATTAACCTTCATGTAGGTTTTAATTTAGCATGTGAGAGGTTCACTAAACTATACATAGTTTGGAAATCAATTAAATAGATCAATAAAGAAAAATTCATAGAGATGCAGTGCCCACACTATAGTTTTGGCTATGTACATTGAGTGCTGTCTTCACTGAGTGCTGTCTTGCGCTTTTTTTTTTTTGCGTCATTGAATAATTGCCTTATACCGTTTCTTTTTCTCTCTTCTTTGGTTGTTGATCTGAAGTTCATCAAACCCGGGAGGCACAGCAGCTCATACATCATGCAACACATCTAAGGAAACTTCGCGATTTCGTTTAACCGGCAAAAAGAGACTTCTGCGAAACGTTGGAGAAGACATTTTTCTGCTTGTACTATTGTGTAAATACAGCTGCCTTTTCATAAATTGCGTTGTTTTATTGAATCTGTTGTGCAACACCATTTCTGATCTAGTACGAGACTTAAGTTTACGTGTTAGCCGCCTAAGTGTGTACGATCACACCACATTCAGTGAGTCAGCGTCGCTGTACTATATTCATAATTGTGCTTTCATTTTTTTTCCCCTAAATGTGTTTTAACCTGTCAAGCCTGATTACGGAGCGTTAGGCAACGTGATGCAAGTGCAATCCACGTAGATCAAGTACTGTGGCCTGCCTTTACAGAGCATGGTGGCAACAGAAATCATCCAATTAAGGAAATTTGTAGCTGCACCATGCTTTTTTTCTAGAGTTTGGCTATCGACATGCACTATATCTCTTGTTGCAATTTTGTGCTTCGTGTTATCTGAAAGGCAGATGTCATGTGCCATAGTGATCTGCAATGTTGCAGCATTGCATTTCATATAAAGGCTAGGTTTGTGCAAACATCACTTTCTTGGCTTGAAGTGGAACAGTAGTAGGTTTTCAATAGTTGTAGAGTGCAAGTTGTAAGCATTAAAGTATGCTTTAAAACTTCCCATATTTTGCTTGCACTTTGAAAAGACTGAAAAAAGACTAATTGGGGTGTAAGTAGTAAACAATTGAACCTGCATATAACGAATGATTGTGCATTGAACGTTATAAAACCCCTTTGAACATGTTTTTTCTATATAAATATATCACATATTTGATATACAAGACCACCTATTTATGTGAATTTTTTGTGACCCTTTTCATATTAGCTATAATTCGGTTTGGCTTTGTGGCAGTGCAGATTTTCTGAGAATTGGCGATTTCATGTCATGACGCCTCCACACTGATGCGAAACTAGTTTTATGGTGAGTTACGTGCGGTAAAATATTGCTACATGCATGTTCTTTTCCGTAACAATATGTCCACCTGTTTGTTTTGAACGCATTGAAATTTCTGAAATGTTGAATTCGTGCCTAAGAGATTATAATCGAACCCCGTTACAATGAAACTCATGGGGCTTAGGAAATATTTCGTTGAAGTGAGCGAAAATTTCATTGTAGTGAAATAAAAAAAATACAGCTGATCGGAGCTAGCAAAACAAAGAAATGTTTATTCTAAAAATTTTAAAGAGTGTCTGCTGCTTCCTCAGCGTTACAACGAGATTCTCAGTCATGCATAGCGAGACCATGGTGAAAAGCACATTGAAAAACGCCTACAACCGCTTTTGTGAGCGTGTCTGACAGTTGCACTGACACGTTAACAGCAGCAGCAGCTGTTCGCCATCAAAGTGTATCCGACAACGCCGAGATGAATGCAGGGTATCGTGGAGCGGTGACTTTTGCCTTATTCTATGCTATGCTCATCATCCATCTTTTGCGGCTAGCTGATTTTGTCGATAATGTGGATGAAAAGCCGCTCTGATTAGTTACCACACTGGCCAAGTGCGAATAAGATAACATACCTGCCAAGTTTGAAGAAACGGAATCCGGGAGATGTACTCAACGGGGGGGGGGGGGGGGGGGGGCTGAAAATATGTTGCTTGCAGGAGGGGGTGGTATAAAATACGTGGACCGAGGGGGGGGGGGCACACATTGTCAGCGGAATTTTGCGGTTGCCGCTGATTTGTACAGAGTCCAAACCGATAACATTGCTTACGCATCGTTTGTTTCACGTGCGAGTAAAAGCGCGCTAGTGATAGAGACGAATGCGGGTGAAGCAGAAATGAAACGACTCGGTCGTCACCGTCGCGTGAAGGGCACATGCGACAAGACCGCTCGGTGTGCGAGGCCTGTCGTCGCTTGCTTCAGCGGGCAAGAAACCATTATGGGCGCCGTTGAGACGGGGATAGTCGCGAGCGCTGGCATACGCGCTGTTACGTTTGGCCCGGCGATTCGTCTGGGCAGACACCATTGTGCATAAGCCGGTCTACTAGGGGGCCCTTTAAACCCCATCGGCACCCAGTCTGCAAGACGCTATCCGGTAGACGTTCCGGGAAACAGTCTAGTCTCAACGTAAGCTTCGCGAGGCAAGCCTTTTGTTGAACGGGCTCGTACTGCGGGGGGAACGGCACCACTGTGGCGGGCCTCCGTAAGACTCGGCTTTTGTCATCTACGCGAGACCATCTCAGCGCACGAACAGCCCGGAAGTGTGGGAAGGCGTCGAAGAAGCCATTCACCGGAATCGAGCGTTGGGACTGCCTGAAGCTGCGAACTCGCTCTAACCAACTCGCAAACCACCTCACAATGACTGACAACAGCAAGGCGAACCCCACAACACAATACCATGCCGCAGTCAAGCACATTGGACTCGCTTAAAACCCTCCAGGCTTCTCAAAAAACACAAACCAATTCTACTCTGAAATTTTGACAGAATTTTGTGCCGCCAGAGTTACAACAATCATGAATGTGGAGATGCTTACTAAAGATGGAACAGTTTGCCGGGTGATAAAAGCGCACAAAGGCAAATACAATTTGGCCCCAGCTAACGATAATCACACTCTTTCAAAACTAGCTTTCTCCCACCATCCGCACTACTAAGTTGTAACCAACATCTGCTAATTTATCATTAACTTAATGAAACACGACTATCTACAATGGTTTCATAGGAATGCTGCCTGTACCTACACAAAGTAACTGTGCGCATTCACTATTCTCTAATTACATACTCGCTAGGCGTAGTCGAGAGTACCTACTTTTAGGACACCCCGACGCAAATGAAAGCTCTCTCACAACAAATCAAACTGCGTCTTCTAACTACCTGAAACGTATCCCTAACGTTAACGTTCTGTAGAGGGCAACTCCCAGCTCAAGAGGTCACATGGTCCCCGAGCAATCACTAAAATAACGAAAGGAAATAACCCTCACACACTAGCACGCTCGTTAACTGAATGTAGACTAATGTCAGCCCCTGTCTTTAAAGAACGCACAGTGTTTTGCTGTGCGACCTAGCAGGGCATCATACTCTCATCCAAAGAGCGCTAGCATATCCACACACACACTTAATCAAAGGCCAAATTCCTATAACATAGGCACCACTAAACACGCGTCTAAACATCAATGTTCACAAAAACCAACACGCAATGAAATAATGCTAGATGCCGTACATGCAAGAGCACCTAACAAAACCTGCGTAAGTTTTGTGCCACAAACACCGTACGAAATGTTTTTCGAACTGTGAGCATTTCGAAAACAGATTTTGATTTTATTCTACAACCTACCTTAGCAATGCTCATCTACGCTCTTAAGACGTTCTACAACTTTGCGCTACATCACAAAAGGCACGGAACATACAAACTACAGCTCCGCTCGACAACGTTACCACTCTTTCAAATTTAGCAGGGCGAACCAATCTTCAATTACGACTTGCGTGCTTTTACCTCAAAGAAAAAAAAACTTAATTTGACAGATGCGGGTCACTGCTTCCGCATAACCCTTAATAACTTAACTCAAAACTCTGACAAAGTTTACAAAAAAGTATTGAAGTGAAAAACTAACTAAACAAACAAGCCGAGGAGATGACACAGGAATATTACCTTAAACCCGAAAATATATGCTTCCAAGTAAATTCCTCCGTCCGACTCTCCAGCTTACAGGTGTCCCTCACTTCAATCGCACACGTAGCGGTTGTGGTTTTGGCAGATTTCGAGAACGCCCGAGGCAACGACGCGTAATGTGCTACCAGCTGAACAGCGCAGTCACGCCTCATTCGCGATTTCGGCGGGCTTTTGTCAATCAGGCGAAGAGGACCCGAGCGATGCGTGGGACAGAGTGGCCATGCCCTCTTTGGGCTAGCTCCCGTGCGGTGCTTAGCTACTGTGGCTTTGCTTCTAGAACCACGTGGACACTCTTGTCCACGAAAAGCTCTAAATCTCTGGCGTGCATTCCGTCGCGAGGATGCGCGCTGGGGCCTGAGGACTCGCTCGCTGGATTCCGTGCCGACCGGTTGTGCCCTCGCGATCTTCGATGTCAGCGTAGCTCTGGCCGTCTGGGCTCGCCCTACGTCATCTCCTGACGCCCACCTCCGGCAACAGTGTAGCTCTGACCGGCTGCACTTGCTGTACGCTATTTTCTGATGCCGACAAGAGCTCTCGCAAGTGGTGCCCCGTCCTCGGACTCCTGTGACCGTGTTTCCATCTTTCCATTCTCCCCTATCCCCTCTATATGTCGTCACTCTCTGACTTACCTCATGCCTCTTTCTCTCTCTCTACACCTTTATTCCTATCCTTTTAATCCCTCCTCACCCCCATCCCTTGTGAGCTACTGTTGAGGTGTCGCTCGCTAAAGCAGACAGTTACGGGGCTCACTTTTCTCTTCCTTTCTCTCTTTGAACCACTTTGTGTGTGTGTGTGGGGCATACCCTTCCGCTGCTGGCGCCTTACTTCACGCCACAAAGGCCTCTTCGTTGAACTGCTCGGTGACCTACCCTCTTCTCATTCCCCCTGCTGCTTGTCACCCTTTTCTTGCCTTTGCTTTGTCGTGCGAGTACGCTTCTTTCTTTTACGGCGACATTTGCGGCCGACCTTTCCTTCATTGCTTTGAAATTGGTCGCTGGTTGAGTCATCGACGGTATTACAGTTCAAAGGCAACCTATAAGACTTGCTCTTTTCACGTGATTGCTTTACCACTTTCTTTCTACTTTTCGTCCGGCGGCTCGGACGCACGAAAACCGACTTTGAAGTCGGTACTGATCTCATAGGCTCGCTAGCTAGGCTCAAAGGTTTGCCCCACCGCGGTGGTCTAGTGGCTAAGGTACTCGGCTGCTGACCCGCAGGGCGCGGGTTCGAATCCCGGCTGCGGCGGCTGCATTTCCGATGGAGGCGGAAATGTTGTAGGCCCGTGTGCTCAGATTTGGGTGCACGTTAAAGAACCCCAGGTGGTCTAAATTTCCGGAGCCCTCCACTACGGCGTCTCTCATAATCATAGAGTGGTTTTGGGACGTTAAACACCACATATCAATTAGGCTCAAAGGTTTTGCACCCTATTTTACCCTCGTAGTACCTTCTTTCTCTCTCGCAGCT